CCGGAAGTTACTTACTTCCGGGTTCGCCGACCAACCGGTTCGCAGGGACCGCCGTGAACCGGTTGAAACCCACCCCTGGTATGTATGTATGTATGTATACACCTTTCCCAGTCAAGAGTGGGATATTGCTCATCCCCAAAGACACTTTAAAAATGAGACAAAGTGCTTCAGCTGGTTTTGATATTTAAAAGATAAAACCAATGAGCTTATATTGTGTATCCTCAGCACCGTCTCTCCCCTACCATCTCAAAATACATGATCATTATGCTGTCTGGCCATAGTACACCACTTCTTCCTAGTAGCTAGGCATATAAAATGTCAACAGAAGCTAAGCAACTTTCACAAGTGTCATTTGTAAGAGATTATGTTATACTCCCTGTGCAAATCATATCTCATTTTCATGCCCTTCTCTAAGAGACCTGGGGCAATAAGTACTGTATGTACGAATGTAGCAATAGCACTTAGACTTATATACTACCACATATTTACAGCTTTAAATTGGGCAGTTTACAATGTCCCAATGTTGCTATTTTTCTCGTGTTCCTTTTGTCTTCTTTACTCTGTGCAAATGTGATAAATAATCTCCTTTTCAAGCGATCCGTCTTACTTACTAGTAAGGGCAGATATCATACACAGGCGATTTACATATGTAAGACACATTTATGTTTCAAATGTGGCACTAAATAAAGTAGGCATTTTAATCTGTTGACACAATTCCTCCCAATGAGGTAGAATACATGAAGGCAAAGATTGTGACGATCGCTAAAACAAGACCACTGATTTAACTGGAACTTGTATTTTTTTTCTTATCTACACCTTCAAGAACCAACATTTCCACACATTGTTCAATTTAAAACACAAGTCTCTTGTCCTTACATATCATTTATGCCTTCTAATACATTATTCCAGAACCCATTGCAATAGTTCGTATGTCAAATTTAATAGAACTCTGCAAAAACTAATGTACGGAGGCGAGGTGGCGCAGTGGTTAAATGCAGCACTGTAGGCTACTTCAGCTGACTGCAGTTCGGCTGTTCAAATCTCACCGGCTCAAGGTTGACTCAGCCTNCTGGTGGTTTCCTTGTTGTGATGCATTTGAAGCTTCCCCAGTTGTGTTTTGCTAGGTGCTCTTCAAAAAAACCTCTTTCTGGCATCTTTTTTTCTACTTGCATCTCTTTGGTGGATGTGTTGTTTTTATTTTGTGAAGGAAAATTTTCCTTCTCTAATGGTTTCCTTGCCGCTGCTTATTAACTGCGTTGATGAGCTGGTGGACTTGTTGAGACCTTTCCTGACCTGCAATATTCATCCTAGCTTGAGTTTCTACTTGTGCAGTTTTGAGTAACCCCAGATGCAGTGGAGACATTTGACCTTTTTGGCTTTAATCTCATTTTTTGAGAAGTTTCCTTTTCCGAAGTCAAAAGGAACTAGTTTGGATTTACTTTGGCAATTTTCCACATAAATATACATTAAGTTTGATGAGGTTATGCTCATTCTTTCCAATTGATTCAACAGCATTCCCATCTTATGCAAGGTCAGAGGTGGGCAACCAGCAGGCCTCAAGGGCCTCTGATGTGGCCTTTTGCTCTCCGTCACTTGCCAGTCCCTTCCTGACTTACCGATACCGCAACCGCAGCTGATTTTCTGGAAAGCTGTTTTTGCAAGATTCAGTTTCCACAGAGTCCTATCCATACTGATACAAACAATGCTTTAACATCTGCAATAAGAATGTCCAATGGACAGCATGTCTCGCTAAGGGAAACTGGTCTCATAGCAATGGCTGCAGCGCTGCTAAATCAGAAGCTGACATAGAAGCGGAAAGGAACAGGAAATCTTTAAATTTCCCCCCTAGCAATCTAAACTATATTGGGATCAAAAGAGGACAGGCTTCCAATAACTTCAAGCATACAAACATTAAAAACCTTTACACAGCATTTTTGCTTTTCTGTGACCCTCAATAAACCATATTAGAAAGACGCACAATAACCAACTCAAGATATGCACTCAGATCAGAGGTGGGTTCCTACCAGTTCACCACCTATTCGGTAGAACCGGTTCGTCAAATCTACCGAACCGGTTAGAAGAGGTTCCACCAGTGGACCCGAAAAGCAGGCTACACCTACAGAAGAGGTTCCAAAAGTTTTTGAAACCCACCACTGGTCCTTGGATATGATTATTCTACACTATCATGCTCCTATTTATAAAACTCA